CTGCTGTGTTGAAGCAGGCCTGCAATTTAATTATTCTAATATAACCTTGGTCCCATTTCGGGGGTGACCCTTATTTTAGTGAGAGAGGCTCGGTGAGTGAATCTGGGTCCCCTGCCTCTGCACCATGCCTGTCTTTACAGGGGCCCACTTCAGTTGGATGTTCAGTCAGCTCTGAGGCTTATTACCTTAAATCCTCCTCCCACTACTGAAAACTCATTCTGACACTCGGGATGGAACGGGGAGCTGGAAGCAAGGGGAGACACTGGAGTGTCCTGCAGCGCTCTGGACAAACCAGGGCACGGGACAGGGACCAGCGTGCCCTTATCCACGATCCCCAAATCCAACAAGCTCTGCAAAGCAAAAGTTCTGGAAACTCACTTGGCAGCAAAATTGATCCGAACTCACCTCATTCGGCCGTAAAGCCTGACCTGGTGTGAGGCTATCGACTGTTTCTCTTCATTCATACATATCGCTATAGAAGTAAGAATGTGTCTGAACAGAGTGCAGCCCCAGACTCTCCTAGGGTGTTATATAAATTATGGTCTAAGCACTGTATGGACTTTCTAAAAAAAAAACAAAAACAAACAAGTCAGACTCTGAGGCACATCCAGTCCCAAGGGTTTTGGCTGGGACGCTCCGGCAACAGGAGTGGCAGTAGCCACCACATTCCAGCCACCCTGAAAGGGTTAGGAAGAGAGCATAAGCACGTATCGGGCCTTCTCCAAAGCATCTGCTTTGTATTTCAGTACAGACCTTGGTTTCATAATACCAGTATCTCAGAAGCCACAGGTGGAAGGTCTGAAACCTCGGAAGGTGTGACAGGCCCTTCTGGAGGTGGTACAACCCACCCCCAAATGCCTTCTAATGCTTTATTCTGGCACTGAGACCACCCAAAACCACACCACGGAGTTTAACTAATCATTCTCCTATTGCTCCGTGGCCCTATGTCAGGAAATGTTGCACGTCCTTGAAAAACAAACTACTCAAATGCAAGGATTGCATGTATATTTTAGAAACTCTTGATTCAGTCTCCACCAATGGAAAGTTTAATTGGCCACTTGGGTCAAGCCTGTTTTTCTAGTCCTCTGCCTGAGCCTGGGACACAGCGGATGCAGCAGCTTGACCCTCAGCATGTGGCGTCTCCCGAGGCAGCTGTGACCAGGGACGGAGCTGGACCTTGGCCCACGTGGGACAGGGCACCAGCAGCCTCGCCACCAGCTCCCGTGCACACTCTCCACCTCCTTTCTGCCTGCATCCTCTGCCCGCTTCTCCTCTATCCCCTCTCATGCCTCTACCCAGGCTCCCCAGGCATGGGGAGCACACAAAACCGATTATACGCACCAGGCCAAAGAGAAACACACCAACGTCAGCTTTGCTGGAAAAGAGGGATATAAGACAACGCACTTGGCTGACGATGACGATGTGAATGGGGCTGGCTCTTTTCCAACCAACCATAAGCCAGTAGTGGACCTGGCACCTTGACGATGGGCCTCGCAACCAAGAGATGCCCACTCGGCAAGGCTTGGGTCAGTTTTTAATTTCACAAACAACACCCTGAATAAGTGGGTTGTGTTCCTATTTTTTAAAAAATAGTACTCTTGGCTCTAAGAACTCGGAAAAATCATATTTAAGAATTTCTTTTTAGCAAAAATGGATTTTCCTCTCTATACTACTATTTCATGTGTTCTTTTTAGATGGCTTCATATTTTTGTTACAAAGAAAACTGTTATTTCCCCTCTTTTTAGCCACTTTTCCCAAGACACTGGTTTTATCCAACACCTGGGAGGTGAGGGCCAGGGGCTGGGAAGGGAACACACACAAGACTGAGTGCCAGGGTGGTCAGCAGAGTCCCGAGGGACACGAACACCGGAAGAGAAGAATCTTCGTATCTTGCTTCCAATTGGGGAAGCAGACGGGGGCGGCGGTGCAGGAGGGTGCCTGGGAATGTTCTGCCTTTTTCTTCCCTCTTCAGTGGGGAGAAGGCCAGGGGAGAAACAGAAAAGATAGAAACTTTAAAATATGGTGCATGTTTCAGGGAAACTTTGTCACCAACAGTTCTCAGTGGAAGCTGCAGTAGAGACTGTTTTTCAATAGGAGGGTGGTCTCCACCAGCCGGTGGTGCCTCACCGTGGGAAGTGTCATGGCCACAAAGCCCCCCAGGGTGTGTTGCCTGGTCCCCAAGCTCCGCGTCAGAGAAGGGGCACAGGGCTTGGCGGCCAGCGAGCAGATGCGCTCTCTGTTTTCACTCCAGCCTGCCCTCCTTTGCTCCCACCTCAGCAGTTCCTTACCTTCCTGCTCTCCCTGGCGTCAGTCAGGAAAATGGGCCATTTGCACTGGTCACTCTCACAGGGCACAACCCAGTGGGCCTCAGTTCACAGAAAATCTGTGTAGTCTGCTGTGCTGGGGTTTGCTTTTCTCTGCATCTTCCACGAGGGCCTCCTGTCACCCTGCACTTCAGGCTCTCAAACGTGGTCACTAGTAGCATCCTTTCCAGTTGGTCTGCCCCAAATCCTGCAGCTGAGATTCTCTGGCCGAGTGGACTGCATTTGCTTCCTGCCACTATGACCATATTATCCTTCCAAATCACGCTGCTGGCTTCCTCGAGGTTCCCGAATTAAGGTCCAGTTTCCAACTCTCACTTTGCAGCCCTTACTACGCATAGTTGCCAACAATGTCTGCTTTCACGTGTGTGTGTTTTCCTTCCCTCTCTCCTTTTTTTCCCCCCTCCCTCCTTTTCTTTTACACTTTCCTATTCCTCTTCCTTGAGCTAGATATTAACTCGGTGGAGTCTCCTAGCTTTTCTTTTGGGTTCTTTGGGGAAGAAAACAATTCATTTCCATTGTCAGAGCCACTTCACTACTTTGACTCTGTGTCTCTCATTAGGTGACTCGACTTCCCCTGGCCTCAGTTTCTCCACTTGTCAAGAGAATACCTCCACATTCACTGTGCTTTTAGCTCTTTGAAAAAAAAATGTCTTCTCTGAACGGAAGGTGTTGGGCTTTATAGCTCTCCGTTTGTGCAGCTTCCTAATATGGATCTCCGAGGGGCCATCTCTATACAATAGGGGATCTTCACTGTTACCCGTTCAGGTTTGCATCTGGATTGGACTAGGGGTTGCGAGAACCTGGATTTTTGTGCCATGTTTAAAATTAAGCATTTTGACAATGGGAATGATGCTCAGGTTCCCAGATATCCAGCTTACTTTAGCAAACCGAGCTTTCCGTTGAAACGAAATTAGACCCTATTGTGCATAAGGGTTTCCGTC